CGATGACGCAACAATATGTTGTGCACGCCTTTTACAAGCCGGCGGAGAATGATTACAATTACATTTGTCATGAGACTGTTAAGACAGCGGAAGTCACGTGACTCTGGTAATACGTGATGAATTTCTCGAATGATCATGAATTATCGGGGAAGACCAAGTTTGTTTAGGAGCCCTCTTTTTTTTTTAGTATATAAGCCTTGCAGGGAAAGCCTGCGGGAATGAATGAAGAGAGTTCCGGGTAATTTACGATTCTGTTTTGAGCTAGTGTGTGTTTTGTTATGGAGATTCTGAATGCTGTGATTTATAGCGTGTATAATAAAAGTAGTTAATTTAAAGGGACAAGAAAGGTAGTGACTGTGAAATTACCGTGTATTAAAAGTTTGTATCGAGAAAGAATAAACTGGTTTAATCCAAAAAGGACTTATATCGCTGAAGTTCCCCGGAAAGAATTTCTACTGGAAATTAACAAACAAGCAGATACGTAACAAGACATTAGTATGAGGACTATTACATAATTATATATGGTTAGGCCACATTTGGAATATTGTGTCCAGTCTTGGGTTCCTTATCTTAGGAAAGACATTGAATTGTTGGAAAGGGTTATTAGAATGGTGCCTGGGATGGAGAGGTTGTCACACAAGGAAATCTCTCAAATTGTTAGGGGGGATCTGATTGAGGTTTTAAGATTGTAAAGGGAATTGATAGTTTTGATGCACTATCTTTTTTCATATTTAACAATGAGGATAGTAGGATTATGGGAAAACAAATATAAATGTTGGTAAGGTAGGAATCATCTTCAACTAAGACAGTTTCATTTTTCTAACAGGTGGTTGGCGTTTGGAAAGGTTACCTTCGGATGTTGTAGAGGCAGTAAATTTAAGCGAGTTAAAAATGATAAGTATATGAATGATAAGGGCTGGCTTAGAGATTTTTTATAATTATTTTAATTTAATCTAGAGGATGGAACAGTCGTGATGAACCAATAGGTCCAATATTGTCCCAAAAACGTTATGTTATTCTTTATGAAGTCTCTTAGGACTTTTCAAAAATTAGAAAAGTGTACAATAATAGTATTATAACCACACTATATTTGTCATACCCATTGTCGATGAAGCGTTTTGCTCAATTCAGAGCTCTTAACAGGCTGGCTTGGATTAAGCAAACATAGAAGTGGACAGATCATTATCTATATAAGTCATTTCATTTATTATGCACTCATGTTTCGCCGGTTTGTTTCATTATTTTTCTTTTAGCAAAGCCACATCGGGCTATCTGCTGTGTCCACCGAGGGGAGTCGAACCCCCTGATTTTAGCATTGTTAATCCAAAGACTTACCACTGTCCCACCAGGGGACTTGCTGGTTTGTAAAATGTGTAAACACCAAGACGATTGTTATTATATAAATAGTTATACAAATCTATATATATAATACCATCTGGTGTATGTCCATGTAACTAGTTCACAGGGTGTTGATGAATCTTCACCAAAATTAGTATGGAACATTCATTAGGTCCATGCGGGGGTACATGCAAATCTTTCGTTTTGCGGTTTTTATGGAGGTTTTTGCATTTTGTACCACTACTTTGCTCCTGTAGATGGAACTTCACCAAATTTGATGTGGTCATTGGGTCCACGAGGAGATACATACAAATTTTCAGTTTTGCGTTTTTAAGGGAGTTTTTCCGTTG